ATTCTTATCTGGATTTAATTCTGGTATTTATACTCTCGAGGTGAGGAAGATCATCATGACTAGTTAATAATTGTTATATTCTATGTATGTGAATTTATTAGTTATCTCTGAAGAAGGCTCAAAAATGAGCCGAAACATGTAAGCGCTTTAGTAAAATAAAGAAGTTTCACGCTACGATAGTCGTGTTATTTGCGCAACATCTCCCGCGCTTGACTCCTACTGCCCTTGTTCTTTCATTGTTTTTTGATTTATAAGGAGTCTTAGTTAGGTTGATTTATTATACGTTAAACTATTCAAGAATAAGTTCCGAAAGTTATACGGGCTAATTCGACGTATTTTCGAAGCTACGGGCTCGAAAGTTGGTAGAGACGCACGTGCACGGCAACCGCCGGGCGACGCGGCGGGAACCTTCGCGGCGCTTCGCTCCTTTCTTCGAAAATCTGACCTGGAAAAGGTCGGGCGTATTTTCGAAACAATATATTGAGTTCGTAGTTGTGTCGCACTAAACTAAATGACGCTGTTCAAATGTGAAAGTATATGTAAGTAGCTCTGTGTACGTGATTCCGTGTTGCCGTTTCTCGTGCCAGGGACCAGTTTTTCTGCGATTCTTCGTGCGTGCACATCGTGAGAGAATCATGCAGAGTTATCCGAAAAGTGAAAAATCGAGCAAAAATCGATCTGCAAGGCCGTGTAAACGAAAATTCCACGGAAATCGATTCACGGACAAAGAAAGTGATGACGAGTTGAATACTAATAGTTCGGCAAAAAAATTGTCGACTGCGGATAGCACGAGCGTAATTGTGAATCCACTTCATTGTTATAGGATCATAGAATTTCTCACGGTTTTTAGTGCGCTTACTGAAATTATATTGTGTAGATCATGTAAAAAAAACGTTAAGTTTGAAGAAACCGGACATCGAGGCTTGGGATTTAAAATTGTAGTGTCGTGTATGTGCGGAAAAAGAGAAATAAATTCCGGGCCACTTATAAACACTGGATATGAAATAAACCGACGAATAGTGCTCGTTATGACGCTACTTGGTATTGGTCGAGAAGGCATAAATACATTTTGCGGCCTAATGGACCTGTGTCAAGGATTAGCGAAAACTACGTATGATGGAATAGTAAAACACATTCATACGGCGTCGGTATCTATGTTCGACGCAATGCGTAAAAAAGCCATCATAGAAGAACGGAAAAATAACGAAAAAAAAGGAAGAACCGATACGCACTTGAAAGTTTCCGGCGATGGATCGTGGAAGAAACGGGGTTTCACTTCTTTGTTTGGCGTTACAACCCTCATTGCTTACTATTGCGGCAAAGTAATTGACTTTATAGTAAAAAGTTCATATTGCACTGCATGTACCTTTCAGAAGCCAAAATTAGACAATGAAGAATTTGAAGAATGGTACGAAAATCATAAAGAAACGTGCACTGCTAATCACAAAGGTTCATCTGGAAAGATGGAAGTAGATTCTATTATGGAAATGTTCTCGAGATCCGAGAAAAACTTGGGCGTCAGATACACTAATTACATTGGCGATGGAGATTCGAAGACTTTTGCAGGTATTTTGAAATCAAATCCATACGGTGAAGATTGTCCTGTAGTGAAAAGCGAATGCGTCGACCACATGCAGAAACGTATGGGCACAAGACTTCGTAACATTAGGAAGAAAGAGAAACTTAGCGGCAAAAATCGGAAGCTCTCATAAAAAAGTTAACAATATATTATGGCTTGGCGATTAGGAGAAATGTCAATTCCGTACAAGATATGAAAAATGCAATAATTGCTACGCTCGACCATTATTGCTCTACGAATAAATCGCCGAGGCATGACAATTGTCCGTCGGGTGCCGATAGCTGGTGCGAATGGCGTCAAGCTGAAGTGAAGAATCAATTACGTTCGTATAAGCATCCTGCACAATTAATTGATGAAGGAATTGAAAAGCATATTCGTCCAATCTACGAACAATTGTCAAAAGACGAATTATTGAACAGATGTTTAGGAGGACACACTCAAAATTCAAATGAATCCTTCAATCCAACGGTGTGGCGAATGGCTCCTAAACACTTGCATTCTGGAGTAAAAATAATTGAAATCGCAGCAAACTTGGCTGCAGGCATTTTCAATGAAGGATATTCAGCAGTTTTAATTACGATGCAGATGCTAAACATTAATATCGGTCAGCAATGTAAAATGTTTGCCGATACCGTCGATGCGCAACGGATCTCGAGGGCGAACAAACGTGAAACTGAAAGCAGCAAGGAGGCTCGGACAGCTCGCAGATTGGAACAAATGCAACAAGATGAATTCTACGAAGAAGAAGAGGGGAATCTTTATGGAGCAGGAATCGCTGATTAGTTTTTAACCTATGTAAGTATCCAATAATTTAAGACTTTCTTACTGAAAACTTTGAAACGCGTTTTCTCCAATTTTTATTTTTACGTTTTAACATAATTGGCGAGCACGATAACAATAAGAGCAATCAAAATAAAACAAAGTGTATTCTTTTCACAATAAAATTATCTTCAAGTTAAACTAAAAACATTTGTAAAAAAAATTGTTTAACAATTTTTAGAGTCCATCAAATATAATTGTACGTACCGTAAAAATGCACATTTTTCTTTCAAAACGAAAAAATTGTATATTTTTCGAGTTTTTCTATATTTTTTTTAGTTTAAATAGAAGAAAAATATATAATAAATTAAAAATCGTTGTAATATTTCATTCCAGATAAGAAACACGAGCTACATCTTGTCCGCCAATTAGCACCAGTAGCGAGAAAGCATTTTACTACTTAATCTGGGACGCCGCCATTTTGTGACTTTTTTACCCGAAAAAAATTTTTTGGTACATTTAAAATGTGTATTAAAGTATCCCTAAAAGCTAAACTAGTCTAGTTATTTCTATCCATATAAAAAAAATTATTTAAATACACCTTTTTTTTGACCTTCTAAACCAGTGGTTTATTGTTTGACGAGAATCGCCGCAGGGACAGCTCGGCGAAGATATCATGTTGACCCTATATAGGCTTTCGTTGACGTTGACGTGATTGGATCTTAGACGGTTGACGAGAACGATTTCTTCCTTTGTAAGCGGCGCTTCATAGAACCATGTCTTTTTGGACTTAGTGTAGAATTGTTCAAAGTATTGAGTGCCTTTAGTGGCAGAAACTTCCTTTATGTGGTCGTGAAACTGCTTGTCTGCTCGAGCGTGTGATTCCACCAGAAGATCCTCATATGGGACACGAAAATCAGGTTTGTAGCCCTCAAGCGCGGCCAGTTTAGCTTCGTGATCTGCTGATTCATTGCCTGGGATGCCTGAATGTGCAGGGATAAAAAAAGTGACCGTACTGCCCCTATTTAATATATAAAAATAGACTTTTCTGATATGGTACACTATGTAATTGCGCTGCACCTTGGAAGAATTTTGGAGTGCTTCTAAAGCGCTCCTTGAATCAGAAAAAATTACACTTTTGGGGAGGTTAAGATCGTAAATAGCAAGGATGGCCTGGTAAATGGCCCAAAGTTCGGCCGAGAAAATGGAAGTTTCAGAAGGAAGCTTATGTTTAATACTGCCTTCCATTTCTGGCGAATAAACCGCAGCTCCAACAGCGCCCTCCGGACTCTTAGACCCATCGGTGTAAAAAGTCATAGCATTCTGTCTAAGCTCATAGGATTTATGATAGAAATCTGCAATTGTCAAATTAGTATTTTCACTTTTGTTATAGCTCTGCATAGTATTGACATACTTAATTGTCGTAGAGAAAACCTCATAGGAGTACCAATATGCCGGCGAATATGTAGATCTGAAAGTGATGGACTTTTCATGGCGACTGATAACGTAGAATTTAAAGAGTCTGGATTCCTTAATGGCTTTGACCTTGCAGTTCCTTCTGACCGCTGTGATTTCCATTTCCTCTAGAGAATTGTAAACGATGCTAAATTTATTTGCCATACACTTGTAGATGAATTTTGAAGCGGTGAGATTAAATCTGATGTTTAGCTCAAATTCCTTGGTTTCTGCGAGCATGGTGTTTATTGGTGTTGAAATTCGATACCCCATCGCTTTCCTGATCACCTTATACTGCAGTCGTCGGAGTTTAATAAAGTCGGGGGTCGATGAGCCCCAAGTAAAGAAGTGAGATCCATATTCCACTGCGCTCCTAAAAATAGCTCTGTAAATTGTAAGCAAAAGCCCAGGGTGTGAGCCCCATGTAACGCTCGACAGAGCAGACACAATAGCTGAAATTTTTCTGCCTTTATCTATGAGATACTTCAGACGTTGTTTGCCGTTCAAATTGTAGTCCAAGATGACGCCCAGGAAACGATGTGAATATACTCTGGGAATTGAGTTTTCATTGATGTTAATGATCTTTGGTGATTTAGTAGCTTTACCTGGTTCAAAAATAATCCACTTGGATTTCGAGGGTGATACTTCCAAGTTTCTGAATCTGAGATAGTTATATATTTGATCCAAGGATTTCTGAACAGAGTCAATGGCCGTGTTTAAGACCGGATGCGTATAGAATAAGACAACGTCATCCGCATATTGGAGAAGGTGAGTATCCCGGTGTAGATGTTGTCCAATTTCCCTGAGGTAGATGTCGAATAATAAGGGGCTTAACGTGGATCCCTGAGACGTACCCTTGAGAGCGGTGTACGGGCCATGAAGCTCGCCTTCTATTATGAAAGTAAGAGAGATGTCTTACAGAAATGAGATTTTCTATAAATTTTTTAAAGTGGGCAGGAACCCCAATGACACTCAAGTCCTCCAGCAGGATGCACGGATCCACATTGTCGAATGCACCCGCAATGTCCAAGAAAACCGCAACCGTGACTGAATGCTTCAGAAAGCCTGTTTTCACTGAGGTAATCAGAGTAACCAGGTTATCATTGCAGGCCCTAAAAGGTCTGAATCCTGATTGAGACTGCGGAAGTATAGGTCTGGACTCGATAAACCAACTCAATCTGGTAAAGAATGCACTCCATGAGTTTACAAACGCATGACATGAGCGATATGGGTCTGATCCCCTTGGAGCCGGGCTTAGGAATAAGTACAACTAGAGAATCTTTCCAGGTGTTCGGGAAAAAACCCTCTGAAAAAATTTGGTTAAATATGTCTAATAGATATAATTTAATTTCACTGGGAGTTTGGCTTATAATGTCATAGCTAACTTGATCCAAGCCGGAAGCAGAGTCTTTGCGAACCGAATTCAAAGCACATTTAAGCTCATCAGCAGTAAGGGGTTCATCAAGCCAGGCGCAGATATGTGGATTATGACGGTCGTCAAGTTTCATTATTTCTAGGGGTTTTGAACGATCGCAATAAGAAGATGTGGACATAGCTTTGAGATGACATCAAATGAAGCCTCTCGAAGATCTGCTGTCATCGAGTTGCTGTTTGCGTTCCTTTTAAAACATTTAATTAAAGACCAAATTTGCTTAGAGAGAGTTTTTACATTAAAGCCGTTGGACTAGCCTACGCCAACCTTCTCTTTTTTGTTCAGAAAGCTTCCTGGAGCAATCATCACGTGCCCTCTGAAATTCTTCGAGTTTTTCTTTAGTAGGGTTAGAGACGAGATTTTTGAGAGCTTTCCTTCTAGTCTCAACAGCACTAGAACACAATTCATTCCACCAAGGAGGGGGGACTAGCTTTGAAGGAAAGGTGAAAGTGCTTGGAAGACGCTTGCCCTCCGGAAGGAAACTTTTGACAATGTCCATGATCGTTCGCATCAGCACATAACATTGCATCCCGTTATTTTTATCTAATGGGAGCAGATTATTAACATGAGTGGCTAATTCTCGATAAAAGAAGGTGAATTGTTCTTTAGTAAGAGAAATCCTATATGAGAATTTAGATTTCAACGAAACCTGGATGCCTATGGTTGTAATGACAAGATAATGATCACTCCCAAATGTATCAGATTCTACGAGGGTGTTGCACATTGGTGCAAGCTGTGGGGACGCTAAGGCCAGATCGATGATTGAAGCCCGATTAGAAGAAGGGCGTAAAAGCGTAGGGGTAGTATCATTAAGAATGACAAGATCGTGTTCTTCAATAATCCGCATAAGCATCCTTCCTGCGGTCGATTGACGTCCGCAACCCCAAGTTGTGTGATGAGCGTTGAAATCACCTAAAAGAATATAATTTTTATATTCTTGTATTTCCTTGATTAAGGAATCGAAAAAAGCGTGAGGAGTTTTTTGACCGGGATGTCTATACAAATTAATAATTACTAACGAATCCGATTTAGAGTAAGGAATTTTGATTGCTAAGAATTCTACTGAAGAATGCGCAGTAGGTATGAGGTCGAGAATTTCGTACTTAATATTTTCACGAATAATGATACAAACATGTATAATGATACATACGTCTCTATCTCCCGTCTGGATGATGTCCTTTCTAATAACCTTATAACCTTTGATGTGAAAGGTATTGTGTTGATTGAGAAGAGATTCTTGCACGCAAAGGATATCGAAATTCCTTGCTACCTCTAGTAGCGAGGAGAGGTTGTGTCGAATTCCTAAAGCATTCCATTGAAATATTTTAAAAGTGTTGTCAGCCTTGCTAAGTCTAATATTCCTTGGAGTCGACTGTTTGTTCTCTTGAACTTATTCCGGCGAATGCAGCGCCGAAGTCTGGATGGTAGGAGTATGTGCCTTCGAAAAAGGAATTGGGCATCTATTAGTTAACTTAATAGATATATTACTAAGCTTTTGCGAGCAGTTAGGATTAGTTCCGAAAACCGTAACTGTTCCGTGTCATATGAGAGGCCCTGAGTGCCATTAGTGGGCTGGCTATAGTAATCGGGACGTGGAAAGTAAGAGGAGTGGAGGAGAAATCCAAGTTTTTTAATGAATCTAACAACCGCATTGAGGGCTTCAGCGAAGTTGTTATTTTGGAAATGGGAGAAAATTTCTGAAACTGGAAAAATCAGTTCGGCGAAACTGGGGTTGTCAGCGTTGTTCATACCTGGTCGGCCGAAGCCGTCCTGCGTTGGAGAAACATTTTGAAAAACTTCGCCATTACCAGCAACCCGGGGGGATCTGCCGTTAGCCTCAAATAGTAAATTGCGGTGAGCCTCTACGTTGTATTGAGCCCTGTTGGGATAAATTGCGTTTGAACGATCTGCCTGTATAGATGATTCGTTCCTTTGAATGTTGCCTCTGGGCCTCTGCGGAGAAAAACGCGAGCGAGGTTGGGATTTCAGAACGTTTGCGTAAGTGACTTGTTGTTCTGCTAGATCTTCTCTCTCCAAGGGGCTAAATTTGTTGTAACTTGCAAAGAATTCTTCGTTGCTTCTGTCATGAGGAAGACTTGGAAAGTTATTAGTATTGGTCGATAAAGATGACGCAGGA